TTAAGTTTAAAGTAACATTCAAATTCCAAATATTTTCCTGTATTTATGTGTTCTGAATTATGTAATAATGTTATACTAAGATTAGTGATAAAAAATTCTTAAAGAGCCCCAAAGTGATTTTCCATTTTTAATTCCTCCATGGTTGTCTCTATGCTAGTCTTGTGCATACGAATCTTCTAAGAAGATGAGAAAAGCAATTTCATTAAGGTGTGATGCCTATATAATATATTTGATATAATTCTCATCTAAAACATAATGCCAACTCAAGTAACCATTAATCAATATTGTATAGAACATCATTCAGGAAATCGCCTGACCAGGAGATTGTAAAGGAAGCAAAAGATACAGATCTAAAAATGATAAAATGTGAAAATTTTGATCAAGAACAGACACTTTTGAAGATAGCCAAGACAGCAGAACAGCCAAGGGACGTATGTCGGGCCTTTTCGAGCCATCCTCTCAGAAGCAGCTGTTCCCTCCCCTTACATTGTGTCATTCTTGTTTTTTCTTCATAGCACTAACTGATAATTAAAGTTGTTTTATTAATTTTTCCTCCTTCACCAAAGCATAAGTTTCAGGAAAATGAAGATACTGTGAATTTTTTTGTTCATTGTTTATCTCTTCTAGTACAATCCTCCACAAATAAATAGGCACTTAATAAATGCTTAACGCATGAGTGGTTAGACAGATGGATAGAGAGAATATGCAGGCAGAACCTAAGAAATAACTAGAATTAGGTAGATCTATTTTTACAAAAATTTCCTAGAACACAGAACTGTAGCAGATTAAAAAAATAATTATATAGAAACAGTAAATAAAATTGGAATATAGAATCATAAAATTAAAAAATCATAAAGGTAGACTGAGGTTGAATTCAGTTATTTAGATGGTCTCCTTGGTGACCATCTTGAATTTTTTATTATGAAATTGAATTCTTCATTATGAAATTCTTTATTATGGGTTTAAATGTATTTTCATCTTTTTCTGAAATTTTTCTTCATCTGAGCCCATTTTTTGTTCACTTTGTTGCTAAGAAAGAATATCTAAAAAATGACAAATGTGTTTTTTAAAAGGTAAAGAATTTAATACTGTGCTTGATAAAAACTGTTCTAAGCTAGATTAAAATGTTTTTTTCCTCCCTTTGTAAGGTGCTTCCTAGCTTCTGAAGTGTTTTCCTTATGGTCTCCATATAGCCTTTAGTTCAACATCTTTCGTAAAGGCCTCATAATGAAAAGTCATCTGTTAAGTCTTTCAGTCCCCTATTGCAGTGTTCCATAAAAGTTATGGCTTATGAGTTTTTTTTTGTGATGTCAGAGTCTAATCCACTATAACATGAACTGAACAGTCAATTTTTACTAGGAGGGTAGAGGATTCATGATCAGTATAATGAATTTGATGTTGCAAGCACAGAAAGTGTTTATCATTTATGAAGGACAAATATCTCATGCTCAATATCATCAAACTAACATATTGATCACCCTTTGTTAAGTTATTAATGCATGCAAATGCTTCTGTCTTGAGCCAATATAAGCCAAAAAAGGAAGAGGTTAAAACCTCCTGATTTTATAACTTTCTGTGTAGTCTCTCTATGCCTTCCACTTTTTTTGTTTGTTTGTTTTTCTTTTTTCCTTTTTTTGCCTTCCACTTTTAAAAAAGGAAAAGTTCTAATTTTTTAAAACAGCAGTATCCCTCTTGTTGCTTCACTCCTTGAAAGCATGTGGCTGTCAGTGTGGCAAGAGTCAAAGTCAAATGCACCAACCACGGCCTACTTCTGGCCCCAGGAAGTTCAATCTCCTCCAAATGAGGCTTTATCCTACCTTTCTCAAATGAAAATTGGACCAGCCTTCATCTTAAGACTTTCAGGAACAAACATCAATGTTCTCGCTCATTTCTCAAACTCACAAGATAAAATTTAAGTGGATTTTTTTGGTTCACATATCGACATTTTTCATGTTTGTTTTTCTCTCTCAAATGCTCATAGTATATTCTTATGTGTGGTGAATATGAGAAAAAAAACTGTTAATCTTAAAAGAAATATAATCTCTCAATCCTTTTCTGATTACAGGGTTTCCAGTGGCATTTGTCGCTGCCTGGGCTGTGGCACGAGCAGCCCTGGCCGATGCAAGGTGAGTGGAAAAGAAGTGGCAAAGAGAGAGCCTCAGCTTTTCCAGACTTCCTGCTCAGGATTTACACTTGCTGCTGTTCTCGATGCCATTGCCCTTTAGGGATGTCACGTGGGACATTACCTTGATGCAGTGGTAGCCTCCCATATATTGCCAGCAAGCCCTCTATCCCAGAGGTCATAGAACGGAAAGATTCACAGACCAGATTAAGATACTTGAACTCCATGGTTTAGGGAAGCAATTTAAAACATAGTGTAT